TGTTGCTGTTGTGTTGGTGAAGATGACAGTATTGTTTGGAGCACTGAAAAATACACATGGATCGGAGAGCCAATTTCAACAGCTAACTGTTTGTTGAGTTATGTAATGTGTTAGGTGTAGTGAAGATGAACACTTCACCTTAGCACTCCCAAACAGATATTTTGGTAAAACCTACTGGGTTGAACACTTTACATTTATTTTGATGGCACACAGAGCAACAGAAAGAGATCCACATGCTGTTCATCAAACATGTTTGCAATTGAGTAATAAATACTACTCCCTATTGATATATTAGTAATGTTACTCCCCCGCAATAAATGTTCCACAGTGTCCACAGAAATATGTAGAATGATTAAGGTCTACAATGATCACTGCACACGAGTTTGCCCAACAACAACTGGGGAAGAATGATTGAAGTGTTATGACAAGACAGTAAACAATGGATATTTCAGTGTGGAGAATGAGTCTGGTTGTGGTACATGCTGGCAGCATAGAAGTAACTTGGATTTGGCTAAACTAGTTAGTATCTGATACTCCAGCATTTGATCTACTAACGTACAAGTTACAGCACAGGCTACAACAATCACCAGATCAAGCAACCAATGACTGAAAGGATTTGGTGGTCCTTGCTTTCTACGCTATCAGCTAATGTTCATAATACAATGTCTAATTTCCACTTGATCATCAACAATTAAAACAGACACAAAATGCTGAAAAGACTTTGTAACCCTTACTTTCTGAGATATCAAGCGGTACAGTAAGATAAACACAATGTATGTACTACATTGTAGGATTACAACTCCATCATCTAAGCCAAGACAAGACTAGGTCAAGAAAGCAGCGAGTGAAAGGAAGTAGCATCCCTTGCTTTCTGAGCTATCTAGCTGTATTGAAAGTTACAACGTATGCATTACATTGTGTGATTACCACTGGATCACCATTAGCAATTACAATCATTAGAGCAAGTGACCAATGATTGAAAGAGTGTTGTGACCCTTGCTTTCCAAGCTAATAAGCAGAGTTTCACTAAATGAGATATCTGCTAGATATTGGGTGATAGCTGCTTGTTGGATAGTTAGGACAGTTGTGTGGTCAATAAACCAATGGCTGAAAGGATTTTGTGACCCTTTCTTTCCAAGTTATTGATAGTGTTATACAGCAGGATTTATTGACTACATTTTGTGGCTATTACTTGATTGTCAACAGCTAGAACAGTCAGGTGATTGAAAAATCAATGACTGAAAACGCTTGTGATCATTGTTTTTGTTGTTGTTGTTTTTAGTGACGTGAAATATTGTGTATGTAGTACATTGTATAGTTACTACTTAACCAACAAAAGCTATGACAGCTTGAATGAATAAATATAATACCTAGTACATTAAAAGTTTGTACAATTGCAGATGGTGGCTAGAAGATTGAAAACGCAATTGAAAGGGTTTTGCAAACCTTACTTTCTGAGCTATCAGGTGTTATTTCACAGAATGACCTAAGCACTACATCTTTGGCTTTACCAATTAATTTCCTTCATTGATTGAAAAACCAGTAACTGAAATAACTTTGTGATCCTTGCTTTCTGAGCCACTGACCGAATTTTCTGATGTGAAATGTCATCTGACTTTTCTGAGACAATCACTCCTATAATTCATCTGAGTGGTGAGAACTCGTATGGAGCATGCCAGTCTGTACTCTTAAGGTTCTCATCTACATAGAAACAGTAGTAACAGCATTAATATTAATCCTGGCTGGTTTAGATCTTTGATTAGAAAGTCTTAGTTTGTTCAAATTTTACCAGTGACTATTTCGTATTGACTGAAATAAAACAAAGAGTTAAGTTTGACAGCTTCTAGATGGTAGAAAGAAGAAGAAGAAGGAAAAAAAAACAGTAATTTTTTTAGGAAATAAAAGTTTTCTAATACAAATAAACAAACAATGTAATGACTTGTAAATTCAACTAGCCGCATGAAACTCTGATGAAAGCTTTTAGGGTAATATAACAAAAAGAAATAATCCACTCATCAAATCATTGCATGCGATTATGTCATCAGTTAAATTTGATCGAAATCATCTGCTAATTTCCACCCCTCAAATGATTTGAATTATTAAGCCGCCCTTGGTTTTGATATTAAAAACACGTGAACATTTTGAGGTATAACAAACATTATCCTTATAATAATCCAGATTATCATACCTTTTACCTGTTTTTTATTTACTGTGCGAACTAAAAACAACAATGAATTGCTAACAAATACTGTCTTGAGTAAAATATTAGAATAACAACTAATCATTTTTGTGGTATACTCCTTTAATGTACACCAAGCTAGGGCTTTCATAGAATTGTAGCTTTCAAGCTAAGTAGACTAGTGTTTTTAACGAAATATATAACTTTATCGGCATTTTATTAAGCATTATTACACTAAAATAGCTGAATATTAAAACCCCACAATTCCTTGTTGCCATACCTAGATAGCTTAACCAAGATTCGTTACGTTTCGATTATAATTTGCATACTATTACATCACCTGTACCAGAAAATCGTTCTGTTTCAGCGCTAACTTGGCTTCAGCTTATAAAAACTTACCTATTCAAGTTTTTTATCTTCTATATTTTAGCATTCCTGACGGTCACGTGCTCATGGCTTTAGGTTATGTAGTTACATAATCATGTGATTTTATTCTATACTGACCTTAGTTTTATATGTTGAAAGGGGTATATTTTAGTATACAAGTTTGTTAATATATTGTACTTTATTAGTGAAAATACTTTCGGAGAAAACAAGTAAGTCAAATTTCCATTTCTTAACGTGTTCAGCTATAAGTATTGTTTCAAAGAATAACTATTTCTTTTACCATTAAATAAAACGATCGCAAACTCCAAATAATCTTTCAAGTTGTTCAGCAAATACAACAACTTAAACGATTCTCTGGAGTTCGCGCTCGTTTTATTTATTCGTAATTATGTTTACTATACTCCAGTCAGCATTATGTAATTTTTAAAATGTAAAAATGTTTCTTTTACGTTTCAACTTTGCGGTAAAACAAACCTTTACTTATCCTTACTCAGATATGATATTTTAGGTAATTAAACTTACAAAAAATGTGATATCCAATATTTTATTTGGTTTCAAAAATACTACAACGAATAACAAGAATTTCCCTAGGTAAGAAATGAAATTAAGTTTAGCAATATAGTGTGAAAACACTGACTGAAAATTATGAAAAGTATTAATATGAGTAGAATTTTAGCTTTCCCGATTTTATAATGCTTAAAAGCTTGGGTACCACTTCACTGAATTGTGAAAAAAAAACACGTAGCTCAGTATGTTGGATTTTTTCATTCGTAAATTACAAGATACAACAATATTTTATTAAAACCGGACGTCCATTTTTATTCAGCACAACTCACAGTAATGTTGTTTCAAATCTATTTTAGGCAGTGTAGACATTCTAACAACTTGCAAGTGAAATCAAAGAAGAATAAGTGATAACATTTAAACCACATAACATTATATAGTGCCGACAAGACCTTTCGTGGAATGCTAAGGTTCATCAAGCTGGTTGGGATACGACAAACATAGTAGGGGTAGAGGCGCAATTTATATCATCAATTGCACGAACAACAACTGCTATAGTGTGAACTAGATTACAGAAGTCAATTGTAATAGTAGAATTTAACCTTAATAAATTACTCCTTCGTATTTCTAGAATTAGACGACTCTTGAGATAGGCAGAAGCGATCAATTATTATAAAATCACCCCGTCCGCTATCATCGAAATTCTGGGTAAAGCTAGTTTTTACTCTAAAATGCACTTGCTGACATTGTCTGGTATCTTGTGTAGTGAGTGGATACTAACGCGTTGATTATAGAAATATATCATTATTTCTTTTTTACATTATTATTCACTAAACATACTAAATGAAAACAAAATTGATCCTATGAACGAAAAGTGGAGGTTATTAAAATATATTTCAAAACTAGCAAAAACAGATCATGTGAATTGAATACTAAAACAACGCTGAGAAAGTATAATAAATCTGAATATTTTGTGTGGAACCAAATTTTAACTTATTTTCTTTTTCAGTCAAAGTTTGAGAAACATTATCTGACTGAATCCAACCTACACACAAATATACTTGCTTGTCATTTTCATAATATTTGAAATACGTTCCCGTTGATTCAGAGATAACCAGAAACTTGCAAGCAGTGATATACTAAAAAGGTTGAAGTGTCTTTGCTTTTTCTTTTGCTGGAAATTTGTGATCAGAACACTTGCAAACAACAATTTTATATAGAAAACATCAACAGTATTACTGCTTGTCTTTTATCAAAATTCATACTAAGGACTCAGTTTGTGTCAAATTTAATTTAGAATTAGCTCAGTGGATCACCTACGAAAAGGATTCTTAGTTGATGTAAATAGTCGAGCAACCAGCAATTAAAACATACGATCAGTGTCTACCTCCTCTCTGGGACCAATAAATTAATCTGGGTACTAACGAAAAAACTCCAGGGACGATACAACAGGCTATAAAATTTGTTCACTTATGGGTTTTTTGAGCTTCATAGCTCAAATTATATGCTATTTTTCTTTTACTATCTTTCTGCTTGTAATAACTGCCTCCTTAGTGAAATAAAACAAGTAAAATTTAACCAGATGTTCCAGAAGTTATGTGCACACAGGCTGTGCTGTTGTTGTGCGGTCATCTAGTCGGAACTTCCCACATATTAAGTAAGACAAGTTTATATGTGTTTATGTCTATTATAAGAGCACTAAGATTTTGTATGTCCTGAAAATGCACGTGCACCTTACTATCTAAATGCGCATGCGCGCGTACTTCATTTCATCGGATGTAAATGTACTCCATTTGACATTCTGTACAACATATCAAAAGCTTATTACAGTTTTAGAAAAAGTTTAACGTTAGGTCGTAGAATAACATTATAAGTTTATTTATTGATAGTACCAGAGTCTAGTCCTAACTAAACTAAAGCAAAAACCTACTTTTAATCTCTTGGACCCTCATCATGCCTAGGTGACCTTCTGGTGGAATTTTAACACCCCTATTAACATGGTTTATGACATATAGATAAGAACACACATACACACACCCCATGTCACGCCAGTTCCGCTAGCCAAGTTTGGTCATGGTAGGATTAAGCTGGACATACGCATATACAAAGCTGAATTGATATAGGATAATTGCATTGTAGCTTATCGTGTATAATCCATAGTGTACATTATGTATTAGTTTATCGTGTATCCTACTGTACATTATTTATAAAGGATATGGCTAGCGTTATTCTTGTTTCTGAGTAAAATTTTAAAACTACAACAAGGCACCTTTCTGCCAAATATGAAATACGTGTATTTAAAAATAATCAACAAATATTTGTGTTATAGAAAAACACAATATATTGTTGCGTCATCGAGATCACGTGACTGGTGTGGCGCCACCTATTTTCTAGAACTATCCTGTACCTTGGTGAATGCTCTAGTATTTACTAGATATAGGGTAGGCTGGTATATAAAAGAGGGTGAC